GTGCCTTCCCTTCCTTTTCTTTTTCATAAAAAAAAGAAATAATTCCAGATATACATTCACTCTCTGTCTGCATGTGTCTTTTCTGCTGTCTCAGAAAATCTGGAATTTATAAGATGAACTCAAACTAACATTGAAACAGATGTTTTAGTACATGTACATGTGTTTTACTTCCTCAGGCACTCTTAACCCCAAAAGCCAACATTACTCAAACATCCATCTCATTCCATTTATAAACTAAAAGATTTTACTTTAATTTTATCTCTGAATCTCACATGCTTTTAATTCTTCTCCCACACAGTCAGTCAAACAACCAGAAAGTAAAATCTTAAGCAAAAAAAAAAAAAAAACAATGGATGGAATTAATCGATGGAACAACATGGGAAGCAGCAGGCCAATGCCTCATCAAGGTAACATTGTGCAGCAATTAAACATCACACCTTTCAAAGAAACTATTTCCCTCACTCTGCAAAGGAAAATGCTGCACATGCCAGCATACTAAAAACTCCCATTCTTCACTCACATGCGTGTTCTCCTGCCTGTGTTGTAGCGGTGTGAGTGCGTGCACCTAACCACTTTAAAGTCTGTGAGTTGCCTATTGATCCCCGTGTATCGGGCAAGTTGTCCTCTGAGGAAAGAAGGGAAATGAAAGAAAAAGAATAAAATGAAAAAGGGGAGAGGCAGATCGATGCAGCGGGGAACAGGGAGGGCGAGCGGGGATTGAGGGAAAACACTCGCAAATACGAGTGCTATGCCGCACAGGCGAAGAGACGCACACACACATAAACACAAAAAGGTGGAGATTAAATATGAATTGGGGTTTTTGTTTCCTCTTTAGTCTCCTTTTAATCTGTTACCTCCCCACCTCCCATCCTGCATGGAGTTATCACATTTCGTTATCAAACATCATTTTATTTTTTCCACAGATTAATTTGGGTGACATCAATTTCCGATACAATATGATATATACAGGATAAACTTTTCATTCTTTTTGCAAACCCTTAATCTTGACTCACTTTGAGCGTTAATGAGTCAAGTTTAGTAAGAATTGTTTCTGCATGGGGAAAATCTGTGAGACTCAGCATTAATAACTATATGCCCTCTTATCAAAATGTTCATCTTAGATCTTTCTACTACCAAGCTATAAATATAAATAAGATCTGCATTTATCGCTACCTAAGCAAATTGAATCTTCAAGATGTTAAGTGTCCAGCAAGGACAGATACAAGATAAGAATGTTGATTAAAATGTGTCTTTGCAAAGAAAAGCAATTATTACACGGTCAGCATGAGTCCTGCCACGTGTTTATTGTACTGACTTCAAGCCTTACTGGCAGAACAATAGCTTTATCAATCTAGCCTTCTCTCACACATGAATGTTTTAAAAATATCAGGTCATGATCTGCCACTCTGTACTTTTCAGTTCTGTAAGTTTTTATTTTGGGTTCTCAGTCATGCTTTATTTTGTTATTCTGTTTTATCAATAATTATATAAATTTTGCTATTATTTATTCCTGGATCTACTTTTACTTAGTTATTCTTTTTATTATCCTTTGGTTATGTTATCTCCAGTCCCTTCTCTTACCCTCTTGTTTTCGCCTTGGTTATTCCTTATTTTGTAGTCATTAGTTTTATTCCCCTTTACCCTTATTCAAGTTCCTTTCTAGTTACAGTTAACCCCTGTTTTCCCTGGTTTCTCTTTGTTGCCCCCTAGTGGCGATTCCCCCTTAGCTCCTTTCTAGCTGCCTCTGTCCACACATGCTCCCAATTAACTGATTACTCCGCTCTTTGTTCTGTCTTCCATATTAATCGTCCTCTGCAGTTCATTAGTGCTGGTTGCTAGTTGATGCTTTGCTCCCCATGTGTTGTTTCTCTCTGAAGTTTTTTTTTGGTTTCTTGTAGTTTGTTATTGGATTTTGTTTCTGTTGCCCTCTTTAATTAAATCTGAAAGAATACATCTCTGCATCTCCTGATCTCTGCATTTGGGTCCTCAACCAACTTCCACCAACCTGACACCAACCTGACCTCACTACAAAGGTGAAATTTCCATGTTAAAAAAAAGAAAGCACACTTATAGAGGTATTTACAATGTCTTTGATAGAAACAGAAGCATCATAATTGTGATATGAAGGAAAGATCATCTGCTCCAAATAGGAAGGACAAGAGGACTTGTTTTTTTCCAGCAGGCCACACAAGTGTTTATCTTCAGCATTCATTTCAAAACAGAGCAGCTTTCCTTCGCTACTAGCCACTGTTTTGAATAAGTCAAGTTTGTCTTACTTCCATGTGCAGTGAGCAGGACAGTAAAGGGGTATCCCCGTCACAATAAAAGAAGGGAATGTACAAAAGAGTTGCATCCTGGGGTCACAGAGTATTTGACCAGATTAGCAACAAATGTTACTAGCATGAAACAAAAATGAATACCTGGGAACGGCCCCTTATGCCTAGTGTTAATTACAGTGGAAGATCTGTGATTCTGTGGGCCTTTTGCTCTCCCAAAGGCTCTCAGGAAATTATCAGGCAGCACTGCATCACTGAATCTTTAAATATCAGACAATTTTTAAAAATTCCCCTGGCTTCAGTCATATAATTAAAAATGAGTCACCATTGTATAATTTAGTCAAATAATGATCCAAAACACGGTTCCCGCATCCAAGACTAATCGTCGTAAAAAGACTGTGGTAGGAAGAATGGTTAAAGATCCCTCTTAGTTTATGCATTTACCTAGTGCATTATTACAGTAGAATTCAAAATGCAATTAAAGTGATACAATATTTACAACAGGGACTTTTGTACAGTTTCTGCAACACACAGTTAAGCTTTAGCAGCTAAAGGTTTTGCTTTTATTTCACAAATCATGTAAAGGAGTTTCACAAAGCCACCAAATAGATTAAGATAGAGTGCACCATTATATTTATCCCAGTTCTTTCTTTTTTTTTATTCGTGTCTCTCTTTTATTTCAGTGTCAGTCTCCCACTCCTTCGCAGGGACACACAGCCCCACCCGCAGTAATGACTAAACCTCCTGCTGCCCCACCCTACCCAGACTGCCAAGTTGCTGCCAACACCTCAGACGCACAAATACACATTTGCACCAGGTCCCACCACAGCTGGTACAAAGAAGTCATAGACTCAACTGTTTTGCTCGTATGCTTATCCACACGCACCAGTTCCACCCGTCTCTCAGTTAAAGCTGCCCGTGTCAGTGCCCTGACATCAGACACACACAAAATAGTCTATTCTGATCTAATGTGATCAGAGCAAATAAGCTCTGTGGTGCTGGCGAACCACAAACTATGCCTGCCAGTACATGACATCACTAAGGAGTGAAAAGCATTATGGTCCACAGAGTTGGGCGAAGGAAAATGAGTGACAGGTGGGAGCCATGGGAACAGTCAGTTAGCCACCCCCTGTTGCCAAGACAACGGGAAAGTTTCCCTGTGTTGTGAAGTTTAAAATTTGATTCTGAGGAGAAAGATGAATGCGGCTGATGGGAACGGGAAATGATGTCATGGAGGCATGTACGTAACAGATATGAACACAGTCGTGCGGGAAGCTTTGCTGGCAGGCATATTTTGCACAAGCTCTGTAAATACGATTAGAGGCAAGCAGATTCCTACGTAGGAGTTCACCACATGAGATCTACTCCATGCAGTCGATTCAAAGGGAAAATCATTTGAGGATAAAAGTGTATTAAAAGAGGCATTCTGATAACTAATGTTCCTGGCAGGAGGGATCTTGGATTCAGGGCTGAACTCTGAAAAGTCTGGGAGTAAATAAAACCAAAGGTGAACAATACGGTTCATCACATAACAATCAGTACTTTGCTTTTACAAGAATATTTCTATGCCTTTTTTATTTTTACATTTCACAAAACTAAACTTCTGTGACAGAACATACAATCTTTCATAACTGTAGTGCAGTAGAATAAGCATACGTGTTCTCCCCAATGGTGTGTCTGAGTTAAAGAACATATTTTACTAAACTTAATAAGTATTTAAGGGGAATATCATTTTAGGCTACTTTCTATGCGTATTTGCTAAATAATTCAGTCTGATTTGGTGTTGAGAAAACATAAATACTAAGTGTAGTCTTAGATTCTAATTTGGTCTTTACTTTAATTGAACAAATCTAACAGATGCAAATGGCTTAATTTTCCCAGTGTTACCATTTGCCTCAATGTGTCCCTAATAACTCTATTAAGTTTTCCCTTCACTGATGAAGACATAAATACCCAAAGTATTGTTCACCAACTTGAATGTTTCAAACTAGGGATGATGTGTTCAGGCTTTGTGTCTCAGTCAGAAAGTCACATGTCAGTCTAATGTCACCAGAGCAATTTAATCTATGTTTGCTGCGTCCATGCCATGAATTATGGCAAACTTTTAATGGGACAGATTTGTGATTAATAATTTTTCCTGCCAACCAATTATATTTATTATTTTTTTAGGCCCACCAAAGTTTGCCTCTTGGCTCTTTTTCTGAGTAATGTTTTTTCTCCTGTTCTAACAGTTAAATGAACAGTCATATCCTGGTAGCTTTCCAGTTTTGCCATACAATGTCAACTATCAAGGGATAGTTTTAACATTGCTTTATAATCCATCCTGCTATATATTTCTAATAAAAAATGTTTCCCTGAGTTGTCTGCAGTGTTCCTTGATCTTCATGATGCTGATGTTGTTTGTTTAATAATGTCCTAAGTCAACCCTCTGAAGCCTTCACAACACAGCAGTATTAATACTAAGGTTATATTAGGGGATCTATTTACTAAATAGGTGACTTATACAAAAGTTTTTTTTAGTTAGAGGTGTTAGCGTAGAGGTGGTTAAATACAAATGCGGAAGTCATAATCTTGTTTATTTTGTAGTTATGCGTTAGCATGTATGTATTTATACAATACACCATCAATGTAACTGCAGCTGTAGAGTTTCTTTGAAGTTTGTAGCCGTGATGTGATAAAATGTGAAAAGATAACACTGAAGGCGTGTGTGCTTGTTCTGCTTACTCTTAGCAGTGACTGGGATTCTTCTTTTGTGGAACCGCCTTTCCCCTCTTGTGCTCCTGCCCCTCCACTCCCTCCTCCGCCACCTGGATATGGCTGTGAAGGCATCTGGTTCTGCTTCTCCCCTACTCCTCCTCCGCCTCCTCCTCCACCTGCTGTAGCTCCTCCTGGTCTCCCTCCTCCCAAAAATGACTTGGAATCTCCCAAAAATGTCTTGGTGTCTCCCAGGTAAACCATGCCAGGCAAGGCTACGCCCCTCTTCTGCTGCGAGCCTTCGTGATTGGCTGAAACGAAAGAGACGGAGAGCGGGGAGGGGAAAAGAGAGGGGCTCCCACCTCCTCCTCCTCTTTCAGGCCCCATCCGCTCCTTGGGTACCCAGAGTAATCCATGGGCTTGTTCACCTCCTCTTTCACCCGGTCCTCTCGTCTCCCCAAGAACCCAGCCCCTCTCCCGCTCTTTCTCCTCTGCTCCCTCACTCTTTACCATACTGGCACCATCCTCCTTGCCTCCCTCTGCCAGCCGTCCTTCAGGTGGAGCTAGAGAGTAGAGGAGGCGTAGGTCCCCCTTGCTCTCCTCTTTAATTGCTAAAGTAGAGGGAGCTGAGCAGCCATTGGCTGAGGGCACCAGAGAAGGTGTCACTGAGGTGGGCAGAGAGCTTAACGATTGAGAGGAGTCTTGGCAATGGGCAGAATTAAAATGGTCAAGGAGGGCTGATGAATCAGGAGCCGTGAAGTCGCAGTGTCGGCAGCGGCAACAAGCGTGGACACGCCTGGATAAAAAGAAAATCACAAATTTGTACTTTCAGTTTTAATCAGTAAAGAGACTATGCCTTTGAGAGTCATCAAAGCTAGTAATGACTCATTACAGTAGTACAATAATGTGGCTGAGGGCAGACCTGTAGACATTGTTACAATGTCTTTGCAGAGAAAAGTCACTTCATCTTTACATTTGCTTACAGGTGCTGGTCATAAAATTAGAATATCATGAAAAAGTAGATTGATTTCAGTAATTCCATTTAAAAAGTGAAACTTGTATATTATATTCATACATTACATACAAACTCATATATTTCAGATGTTTATTTTGTTTAATTTTGATGATTACAAATGACAACAAATGAAAATCTCAAATTCATCATATCAGAAAATTAGAATATTACTGAAGACCAATAAAAACAAAGGATTTATAGAAATGTTGGCCAACTGAAAAGTATGAACATGAAAAGTATGAGCATGTACAGCACTCAGTATTTAGTTGGGCCTCCTTTGGCCTGTATTACTGCAGCAATGCGGCGTGGCATGGAGTCGATCAGTCTGTGGCACTGCTCAGGTGTTATGATAGCCCAGGTTGCTCTAATAGTGGCTTTTAGCTCTTCTGAATTGTTGGGTCTGGTGTATTGCATCTTCTTCTTCACAATACCCCATAGATTTTCTATGGGGTTAAGGTCAGGAGAGTTTGCTGGCCAATTAAGAACAGGGATACCATGGTCCTTCAACCAGGTACTGGTAGCTTTGGCACTGTGTGCAGGTGCCAAGTCCTGTTGGAAAATGAAATCTGCATCTCCAAAAAGTTGGTCAGCTGCAGGAAGCATGAAGTGCTCTAAAACTTCCTGGTATGTGGCTGCGTTGACCCTGGACCTCAGAAAACACAATGGACCAACACCAGCAGATGACATGGCACCCCAAACCATCACTGACTGTGGAAACTTTACACTGGACTTCAAGCAACGTGGATGAAGTGCCTCTCTTCTTTTCCTCCAGACTCTGGGACCTTGATTTCCAAAGGAAATGCAAAATTTACTTTCATCAGAGAACATGACTTTGGACCACTCACCAGCAGTCCAGTCCTGTTTCTCTTTAGACGCTTCTGACGCTGTCTGTGGTTCAAGAGTGGCTTGACACAAGGAATGCGACAGCAGAAACCCATGTCTTTCATACGTCTGTGTGTGGTGGTTCTTGAAGCACTCACTCCAGCTGCAGTCCACTCTTTGTGAATCTCCCCCACATTTTTGAAGGGGTTTTGTTTCACAATCCTCTCCAGGGTGCGGTTATCTCTCTTGCTTGTACACTTTTTTCGACCACATCTTTTCCTTCCCTTCGCCTCTCTATTAATGTGCTTGGACACTGAGCTCTGTGAACAGCCAGCCTCTTTAGCGATGACCTTTTGTGTCTTGCCCTCCTTGTGCAAGGTGTCGATGGTCGTCTTTTGGACAACTGTCAAGTCAGCAGTCTTCCCCATGATTGTGTAGCCTATAGAACTAGACTGAAAGACCATTTAAAGGCTTTTGCAGGTGGTTTGAGTTAATTAGCTGATTAGAGTGTGGCACCAGGGGCCATCAATTTTGAACCTTTTCACAATATTCTAATTTTCTGATATGATGAATTTGAGATTTTCATTTGTTGTCATTTGTAATCATCAAAATTAAACAAAATAAACATCTGAAATATATGAGTTTGTATGTAATGTATGAATATAATATACAAGTTTCACTTTTTAAATGGAATTACTGAAATCAATCTACTTTTTCATGATATTCTAATTTTATGACCAGCACCTGTATTTAAATCAATAAAAGCCACTCATTCAGTCAACCTGAAACCAAAATTGCACACAGAACGAAGAAAATTCAACCCCCGGAAATGAATAAATCAAAACTGCATTTGGCGCTTCTTGTTTTTCTCAGGGCAGTCATGTCTTGACTTTCAGGGAAGTCGTGGCCAAAAAGTGAGTCAGAGTTCCACTAAATCACCTCGAATTACTTGAAAATGGTAAAAAGCTTAAATGAATCTGAACATCAAGCAATGAATAAACCATCAACAAGCCACCTTCACTTCCTGTTGGCCAAGCCCCTGAAGGGTACACTATATTTCCAAAGCAAAACAGGGTAGGTTTATATTTGTTTCTTTTTCCTGGCACTAAACAGAAAATGTTGGGTGGACCGACAAGATTAAACAAGAAAATCAATAAACCATCTTTAAGAAACCTATACCCACACAAACTCCCTCTTAGTCAAAGTTACATTAACATAACAGAGCAGTTATAGAGCATTCGCTTTTAATATGGAAGTTATCTATGTGTTTCTCAGATTACTCAACTAGTTTCTTTTAGAAAATTGCTTTAATATTAATATACATATTGGATATTTCACTGCCAATTCTGAAGGGAATCTTTTTACCTACTTTGTACTTCAGAAACAGAAACCATATGCCCTTTAAAGCCTTAGTTCAGTCATGTTAAATGATTTGCAACTGTACAATGGTTTTCTTAAGTCTTGCCTCCGATGTGGACCACATTCTTGGCTTTGGCAGGTCCATTAAAACACTTACACAAGTGTCATTCTAAATATTTTCATTGCATTTTTAGGTTTATATTTAATGTGAACTTATTACCTTCAGTTCCGGTCAGAAGGGTTCTGCAGCTTCTAAAAGATTTTCCTCCAGGATTGACATGCATTTACCTCATCTGTCTTCCCAACAATTATAACCAACTTAGCTCTCTTCCTCACATTTTGCACGCAAGCATTAAACATTATTAGTTATTTTTGCCCATACTAACTGAATTACATGTCTTAACATGTTTGCTATGTCCTCTTAATGACTTGTACTAAAACTTCTGAGACTTTCTTTAAATAATTATTTCCCACCGTTATTCCAAAAAAGGCAGATTTATGGAAGGCACAACTAATCATTGTCATGTTGACAGTTTCACTGTCGCTATCTGCAGCCTCTCGAGCTAAAGCGTGGGCTTCTCAGCTGCTTTTTAAAGTAATTCTCTTCTTTTTTTGTCCATTTAGCTGGGCTGGAGTCTCTTTGTTGGCTTGTGTAATACTTTTTTCCATCTTTGATCAATTGAAAAGGAATCTGCGACATAGTGAGAACTTGGGACATATCCCGAACTAAATAGCTGACCTGACTTTTTTGTTTCTTGCTCTTCATGATCTAGCTGTTTTTTCACCTAATGCTCTTTTATAAAACTCTGAGGCCTTTATAGAAGAGCGACATACCATGTTTACTAAGTAGGTGACCTCTAAAGGCAATTGGTTGCACTGGGTTTTATTTCAAATGTGGAAACCATTTCATCACCTTCCACAAATTCCACATTTCTATTTAGTGCTTGAAATTTCAAAATAACTACACTAAAGCATCTGATTGCAACATGAAAACATAAAAAAAAAAAAAGGGATATGAATACTTGTTTTACGGCATTGTACTGGCCTGATAATAACTTCAGTTCTCTTTTCAAGGCCATTGTTTTGGCAACTCAGTCATGTATAACCAATGCCTCACTCGCTCTTTTCCTATGCTCAGATGTCACCCAGCAGCAGTAATCTGCTAAACACTGGCTACTGCATTCACTTGGCTTTCTCTCAACAGCAGCTTCGTATTGATGCCCTGCAGTGTGAGTATTTTACAACAGCAGGAGATACAGTAAGCATGCCAAAAATGTCAATGAGAGCAGAAAAACAACCTCCGTGTACAGAAGATGCTCACACAGAAAGAAAAAAAAAATCAATGAAATAAATTTAGAGGTATAAAACTCAGATGTGAGGATTAAATAGATGTTTTTCTCTTTTCAAATAAGCTATAACCTGAGTCTCCAGCTGCTTAAAAAACATCTAGCTCAGAGAAGTGATCTAAAATCCAATGGGTTTAAGGAATGTCTTTCCACTTGACAGGTTTGGTTTGATTAAAAGCCACTTTGATTATTATGTAAGGGCAGATCATCTAAAGCAGTGTGAATGTTGTCATTCGCACCCTAGGGGCAGCAAGCAATTGGACCGAGACCGTTTAAAAAAGTCTCATTCTGGTTTAAAATAAACAGAAATAGGAATGTTCAAAGATCAGCTAGAGTTTTATATTCTTTTTTCTATTATTGGGTAATAAATTGCTTATCATAATGCTTGGAGCACCTTTTCTAGTGACTGGGAAACAGAACCTCCTGGCAATATTTGCAGTCTGAGATGTTTTAATGCATTACTAAAGACTATGACTGGTGTATTATTTCTAATCCAATTTCTGGTCACACTCAGCAGGGTCTATCCGATAGAAAAAAGGAATCAGACTTCAACTAAACAAGGCCTTTTTGCACCTAATAGTCTTGTAGCCACACCCTTAGGGTGAAGTCTGTTCTATTGAAACTGCAATGTGTTTAATGGCCTTATTATGACGTTCTGTGAGGTTGGGTGTGGGAAGCCTGTTTTTACAACAAAGCGGATTCTTGAATGGAGACTGTGTTGCAAAAACAGGGGGAACACTACAATAAAATTGATTGTCTAATTCAGTATAGTTGGTTATAACTGGCAGTGTTTTGTAGTTAACTGTCTTTGCGTCCATCATGTTTTATCATATAAAGTGTGTTGTCTAGTTGTTTTTCAAATTGTAGTGTTGTAAACTTCTTTTTTTGCCCTTTCATATAACTTCTTTCTCTGCTTTTTAGTCACAATTTATTAACACAATTTTACACCATTGAAAAATTGTAATATCAGGAAAAAAATATCCTCAATATAAAAAAAAAACAAAAAAAAAAAGTTGGAATCAGTCCTGAAAAAAAGTGGACCTGCTTCCAGCTTAAAGTGACAAAGAAAAATGGCCAGACATTTTTATTCAAGATTTTGCTAATAAAGATACTTCAGTCCTTTATGGCAAATTATTATTGCTGCTCACTGCAGTGAGGTGAAGATTCTCTCACGAGCAATAGAAGCTGCCAGCTGAAGTGTGTGCGACAGAATTTGACCTAAATTGATAAGTGCTAACTTTGATACTGGCTCTGAAACCCATAATGTCAGGACACCATCTGGCAATCATCATTAATAATAAGTTGAGAGGTCAACTAACTATCTGACTTAATGGACAGGCTGACCTGCTGGGATAGACATTAAGCCAGCATGCTTGTGTAAATGTTCAGCCATCTGGGTCATCGCAATAAAAAAAAACAGATTTAAAATAGGAGGCATCCTGACTTTCACTAACACTTTTATGAGTCTGTCGGTTCTGTTAGCTCCCTACATCAAGGTCCATCCTCCTAAGCACAAGTCAGAAATGAAAGACCAACCCATCGTCCACCTATGTTTTTGTGGTCTTTTGTTGTGTATGGACCAGAGATGGGGGATCTGGAGTCAACAAGTCATTTCTTTGTCATGTATTTGTTCTACCCAGCCACTGAACCAGGTCAGTCCAATCTGGTTTAACCTGCGCAGATTGGACTCACCTGGTTAGAACAAATACATGACAGAGAGATGACTTGATGACTCCAGATGGTATGGGCTTATTGTTATCCCATTTAAATCATGAAAACCATCCGTCTTCTGTCTAAAATCTAAACATTTTGATCGTCAAAGGTGTATCCTTTATTCCTGATGTGAAGGTGTACAGCAGAATCCTGCCCAGAGCTACTGGCCCAGTGTGATGTGCCACGCTTCAGTGTAGTTGTTTGATTTTTCCAATATTGGAGTCTGAACAGTCCCTGCTACACTGGAAAGCACAAATGCACCACTCAGCTTTGGTTTGGGTGCTCTGTCCTTGGGATGAACCACTTTTTGTCTGTGTGAGTTGTTGAAAACACTCGGTTTGAAATCCACCTGTATGTTTTGTTAGAAAAAATCCTTCTGACTCTCTCAGAAACTCCTGACACATATGAAATTACACCGTTTTTGTACCTCTATTTTCTTTTATCTGTTAGATGCAGTGTTGTTTATCCTGCTAGATTTTTTGGGCCGACTTAAGAAACGCTCAGTTTGGATAACAACTTGCTTCAAGGGATTTCCTGACAGTAACATGTTTGTGTTCTATTCATATTTTCTGTGCAACTGAAGGAATATTGTCAGCCCAGTAACAGAAGGCTGTGTTCCATAGGGTGATATGAGTCAAACTGCAGGTATTGGTCTGTATGTTTAGGTTTCTGGTAACTCAGTATTAAGACTCCCATTGTGCTCATCGTGAACAGCACAACACAGAAAGGGCAACATGCTGTTCCTGCATTCTCTCTACTGAGGTGTAATCCACGTATCTCAGCTGGGCTGTGTTTAGAAAGAAATATACACTTTACATACATTTTTCATACAACAGATAAAATGTGACAAAAATGACATGTGGTGGAGATCAGAGCACTAATACATGTAATTTTGTCACATGTTATCTGTTGTATAAAAAATGTATGTAAAGTGTATCTTTATTTCTTTGGGATATTGTGTAAGCTGAACAGACGTGATCTCTAAACCCAAGGTTTTAATAAATTCTTGTTGGAAAGAAGCAGTCTGGTAGTTTGATTCTTACATAAACCAACAAGTAAAGTTTTTTAAGCTCAACATTATCCTGGTCGTGAATCGACACAGCGACTCCTGAACATCATGTCAGATCTGACATGTGCCTTTTTGTTTTCATCTATTTTCGGAATGAACCAAAGAGCATTCAGCTTAGAATAAGAATTAATAGGCTACTTTTATATTTCTTTAACCTGCCTTTAGCAATTACAATCTGTCTTGTTTGGTCGTTTAAAAGAGATATTTTTTTTTCACAACCTGGTTACACTTAATTGTTTGCTAAAAAATATGGAGTGGCTGCAAAGATTTTCTGCACCTTTAGCTGTTTGATAAAGTTGTGAACATAAGATTTATTAACTCCAACTGTAGAGTAGGAATGCTTTAACCCTAACCCCCTTTAACCTGGAATAAAGAGTTGAGAAACACTCAAACAGTAGGTCAAGGTATATCAATAATAAAGAAAAGGTCTGTTCTAAGCTGCATTTTTTAGCTACAGTACCAAGAAAAGGGAGGTATCCTGTAAAGCTGAATATTTTAACTCTAAATCAAACAATACAATTAAAAGTTAGTGTACTGCAGTTATATAATGCACTCTTTTATTCATTACTGAATGTTAGTGACTGATCTTTCACTGCGTACAATAATACAAGCTGGTGACTTTTTCCTTTTAACACTGCAATCCTTTCTTTTAAACACCATTAAATTAAACCCCGAACTTGTTGTCTAAAACTTTAGAATCCTTTTAGCTTTGATTGATTTTACTGGGAGCACAAAACTTTGTGCCTTTGTTAAACATTTATTTGATCAGAGGAGCTTAGATTTTGTTTGGGACATGACTGGACTCTAAAACAAACATCTCATAATTGATTTGACACCTCTTTCTCTCCTATTCTCTCCAGGGTTTCCCATCTCTGATTATCTTTTAATTTTCTTCCCTACTTTAATTTCATTTTGCAAAGATTATTCAATTTCACAGCATTCTCTCTTTTGTTTTTTTCCTCTTTTCTATTCGTAGCTTTTCTTTATTTTGGATCACTAAAATTACCTAATCACACGCTAAAAAAGCTCTTAAATTGTAGGACTGACTAGGATACTCATTTCATATCGGTTCTTTGTATTTTTGAATATTTGACAGCTAAATCTGGAAACCTCATTTACACTTAATTGTACCTGCAGGTCTGATTGTACTTATGAAACACATACTGCAAAGCCATGCTTGAAGTCTTCCACAATTTCTGACATAAATTATAGACCAAAACTGTTGAAACGACTGCTGAGCTTCAGAGAATGAAGACCGTCATCAGGAACAGAGCTAATTTGCATTTGGAAAATATAAGGCTCAGTAAGTGAGGTTCATTACTGTTTCAGATTTCTGACAGCTTTTCCAAAGTCTAGGTCGAATTGCAGAGGTAAAATTATCCTCAAATGTCGGTTCCTCCAGCCTGTGGCAAGAAAAACTAAAGAGTGAGTGGGGACCGCTGTGATCTACAGATCTCAAAAACCAACAGTAAGATTTAACATTACAAAATTCAGTAATTGTATTAGGGCTTCAGAATATCATAATGTTGTGTTTTTCACTGTTTAATTGTAGTTACAGACATCACTGTTTAAATTACTTGAGCCAACCTTGTTTAATTGCTTTATTTACTACTATTTTTCAACAGTTTGTGTTAGTTTGTTTTTACAGTAGCCTGATTTATTGGTTGAAAAAACAGGGTTCCCTTTGCTTGTTTGTTGGCTCTTTCACAGGACGATTGGTTGGTTTGTTGCCTGACCTTATTACTTGTTTGTCTGGCTGTATGTTCTGCCCTGGTTGCTTCAATAGAAGGTTAGCTGGTCCAACCTAATTTAAATAACGCTACATATTAATGAATAACCATTGGTCTGGAAAAACCACAGCATATTAGGGAAATAAATCTAGATTTAACAATCAAAACAGTATTGCTAGGCATGTCTAATGTTATGAGATTATCCTCCTTTAAGGGGGAAAATATTAACTTTTTCCTAAGAAGCACTCAACTTTATCAGTCACAGATGCATACGTAATAAAAACATAAACATACATTAGTCACTGTATGTTATCCAAAAATTGCTAAGACATGCATTTTCATATCTATCTGTGAGATCAACAGTTTAACCACAATTACACCCACAAAAAGTCACTCAGGTCCGCAGACCAGTTGCACCGGGTCATTCCCAGTTCAAATCAGAAACTGGAGGAGAACTGACCTTCTCTACTGGGGCCCTAGTTTGCAATTAGACATGCTCCTTCTCTGTCCCTCTTTAATACCCACCTAAAAACCCTCCTACTCAGTGGCTTTCAGCCACTTCAGCAACATATTTTTACTACTTTATCTGTTTTCTGTATTTGTTTTATCATGTTTTGTAGCTGATCCTCACAAATTGTGTTTTAGTTTGACCTTTTTATCCCTTTTTCTTATTTTTTTGTTTGATGTTCTGCACTTCGGTGGCTTGTTTTAAAGCACTTAATGCATAAAAGTGATGATGATTTTCAGCTTACCTGTAGTGTCGAAAAAGCTCTTCTTCCACTTGTGTGGCAAAGTTACACTTTGTACAAGTGTGCTCAATCTCTACTGCTCCTCCTCTCCCTCCTTCCTTATCTCCCCCAGCCTCCTCCTCAGCCTTGACTTGCGGAGGTGCCCCCTTTAGGTTGATCAGGTTGTGAAAGCTCTCATAGTGTTGCAACAACACATCAATGTCGGTGGTCACAAACGCACATTGGTCGCACAAGTGAGTGACACCTAGAGGGTAAATCAGTATTAAAGAATACCAAAACTATAAAAAGGGGTCAATTTGTCTGAAAAAAACAACAACAAGCAAATGGTAGTGATTTGCTCCTCCTATGGCTTCAAATACCTTGTGCAACAACAGGATGTGCAGGGTTAGAAGGGTGAAAGGTGGAACTAGAAATCACACTGGGGTCGCCTCTTGGGTTAGGAGGGGTCACGCTGGGTGAGGTGGCAGCAGTAGGTTTTGAACCGATGGGGTCCTGCTGCTTGGTGGGCTGAGGAAACTTTGAACAGCATTTAGGGCAGGTTGGCTTCCGACAGGCAAATGGGTGGGATACCTATCGAGAGAAATGTTTAGTCAAGCACTTGTTTCCATGCTACACTTTCTCTTTGTTTTTTGTCAGAACTGGGTTGATGAGTTTGAAGCACATGAAAAAATAAAAGTGGAAGTCAGCAAAAGCAAAATTATTGTGCATTATTAATACAAAGCCTAAAATATTAACCATCCTTTTTGTATTTTCAGCAGCTAAAACGGCTCTGTTTGGCAGCTGACACAAAGGAGGGCAGGGAGTGTGCGTGGGCAGATTCAGAATAACAAGGGAAATTTAACTAAGCAGGAAACGGGAACAATTATCTTCACACTTGTTAGTGTATTTTATTTTATTTTCCTTGCTAAGAAATGGTTTATTTCTTCCCAGTAACTGCAGAGACAACACCAAATGTTTCAGGTTTTCCTACATCTCACCTCTCCCAGGTGTTTCTGGGGCTGGCAGAGCCCCCGAGGACAATAGATGCAGTGCTGAATACAACAGCGGTGGATGGAGTGGTTGTGCTGGTAGTGCAGCAGCAGCGGAGCTACGATGATCACGTCTGCACTGTGGGCCATTGAGTAACGGAAATCACACAACTGACAGTTATAGCTGGTCACCACAGCTTCTGAATCAGCACTTTTTGGGTCCCCTGGGAGCAGAAGAGAGAAACCTTCAGTTAAACATACAGAGAAGCGGTTTAACATACAATGCCTTCCATAGTTATCTAAACAAATGAATCACACATTTTAAAGTATTTAATTTGAATTTTACTTGGAAAAAAAGACATATTGCATAGTAAAATTAGGGGGAAATAAAACATGGTTTTAAAACTTCCTCACGAATAAGTCTATTTCCATTGAGTCAATACTTTAACTGTAGATAAAACAGAAAATATGTATACAACATCCCCTAAAACACTGATCTATATGGATATAGTTTTCTATCCAAACCCAAATTTAAACCTTTACCAACTATATTCAGGATATTTCTGCTGTGTTCCTTAGTATTCATGTTTATCTCATTCTCTTGGCAGATTAATGTGCAAATTTATCTGAATGAATGTTAACCAAAAGTAGAAAAACTTCCACCATACCTCTTTCGTTACCTTGGCTGGTGGTGAAGTGATCTTTGCAGCTTTTGGATACCATGTGATCTTGCTCTCCTCTGTCTCTTCTTCCTCCTCTCTCCCTCTCTCTGTCCATCCCAGCATGACCGGAGCTATTAGGGCTTATAGCACCACCAGAAGCGACTCTATGTCTTTGTTCAAAGTGCTCTAAAAGCTTTGTGGAACCCTCTGACCACTCGCACTTCCAGCTGCAGAGTTTACACCAATAAGCTGCCTGTACAGCTCCCCGAGCAGCCTCCCCCGTCCAACTGGACGCGTCAGAACCCTCCCTGACCGGGACGAAGTACCCAACCACGGAGTCGTCTTTACCCCGCACAGCCACCCGCTCCATACCATCTAAAACCACACTCCTCCCTTTCAGCTGGCTGTCGCTCGTCGGCAGGTTATTTGCGGCCAGCAGGGGTGTGGATGGGGGTGATTTGACTTTGTTGGGATGCAGGGACAAAAAGTGTTGCTCAAGTTCCAAGGAATTACTGCCCATGTACGTAAAGTTGCAGAATTTGCAGCGGAAGTACTTAGTGTTTCCTTGGCAGTCGGATGTCTTGCGGCCAATCCCAATTAATGTGCCACACAACATCACCTGCGGAGATGGAGAAAAGAATAGTTAGATAATGAAGACATAAAACTCTATCAGACTGAAGATGACTGCAAATTTAAAAGAAAAACATTAAAACAATGCATAATTTCTCCTTTGCAAGACAACTATTTCACAATCAATCAAGCATATTATTTAGTTGTAGAGTTATAAAATCATAATACTAAGCTTTTAGAGTACTTAGATCAATACTTTATCAGTTAAAGATGTATAAATATATTGCATGGTACTGTCAAGGCTCAATTTGCTACTAAATAACAAGTGCAGGTTTTCTTTTTTCTGTCATCTGGGTCACTAAACACGAGAGATATTTAAGCCCAACTTACTTGTGAGATCTATAATTTAAAGCCGGGGTGGGGCAAATCTAATAATTATCATTATTTTGTAATTTGCTGAACATACAATGAAAAATAATGATGTGATAGTTAAACAGATGGGCTTTCTCTCTCCTTGACATTATCTTGCACTCTGCAGTAATTCAAAGTATGATTATTTTTTTTAGAGGACTGTTTTCAGTCTCAGTTGTATTCTAGGGATATTTTAATGCATATTTCTTATGTATTTCATGATATTTTCAGGATTACAACGTTTGGATGGCAAACCTAAATATAATACTTTCTTATTTCATCGGCTTAGATTTTTGCCTTGGTAATTTATTCATTTCACACCAAAGGAAAACACCACAAGGGGAGAATAAAATTGAGGGAAATAATAAAAAGCAAAACATGTTGTGGAAGAGCGCACATATCTAGAAACAGGGAAGAGTAAAAGGAAAGAGGTGAGAGAGATGAAAAGTAAACTGAGCAGTTAGAGGAAAATCAATTAAATACTTTGAAAGAAAGAGCAAGGAAAAAAAGTCGAAACAGAGAAGACGAAGACGTTTATTATAAGGGAGAAGAGAGAAAAAAAGGGGGTTAAATATGTCTGACAGCTGTTTCATCAGACTCTCTAACAGTCAATTAGAACTGCAGCTTCTCAGTCTGTCTATTTCACTACCTCCTTTCCTTCCTCTGTCTATATATACATCTAATTTTTCTTTTAAATAATCCTATTATTATTTTTCACTGGTTGACAGGGATCTTAGTAAATGACTAGATGGAATTTTCCAAAGGTTGGCTGAAACCAGAAAAATTGAGTGAGAGATGGAGAAAATAGAGATCCCTTTCATCCCGCCCCCCTTTTTTTCCTAATACTTTCACTTTTTCTTCATAATGACGATTTAAACCCACTGGATTTTCTATTTCATCCACTGCTGTGCTTCTCTGTGTCCATTATGTGACTTCCCAACATTACCGGCGGCTTGATTAAATGAAATAAAACTCATCAATTATTTTTCTCAGATTATATTAAAAGCAGATTTTAGAACGTTTTTGTTTAAAATCCTTGCTGTTTCTATTCACGTAAACTCAAAGTCCTAATCCTTAACTAATAATTCAATTCGTTCCATACAATAAATTACAGAGCTAGAGCCACTATAGAAGAGGAATGGACATGTGAAGTAGTCTTTCTTCTTTCACACTTTAATGTTTATCATTAGCAGCCACAGCAAATCAAGTTAAGTGGAAGGTGTTGATTTTTTTTTTCAGGTCTAAGTCTGCAGCTGTTGATTTTCCTGATTAGGACTCTCTTGGTTTAAAGTGCAGCAGAATAAGACAAAATCAACTTTTTTAAGGCTGCAAGTCGTAATTTCTCACAGCTAGGATTACCATGAAGGCTTACATTCACTTTGCACATGGATTTTTTTCTTTTCTAAAGCTACACTAACCCATGTTTCCTTTGTAATGGAACCCTGAGCAGATGTTGTATGAAAGAACAGGAAAGCATGTTTAGACTTAATGCTTCATGAGTATATGTGAGGGAATCTCTGTGTTTGCTTAGCACCGTATGTGCAGCCTGTATGCCAGGTGGCCAGCATGTCTACTTTCTGTCAGTCTATAAAACTTTATAACACCGCTCAATACACACTGTTCAAATAACTAAGTATAACAATCAAAGAGTAATCAGTTCTTGTTCTTGGCTCTACTTTTTTCCAATATTTCGCCAGATCTATATTTATCTGATCATTGTGGGTCACCTGGAGAGGAGAGGAGAGGAGAGGAGAGGAGAGGAGAGGAGAGGAGAGGAGAGGAGAGGAGAGGAGAGGAGAGGAGAGGAGAGGAGAGGAGAGGAGAGGAGAGGAGAGGAGAGGAGAGGAGAGGAGAGGAGAGGAGAGGAGAGGAGAGGAGAGGAGAGGAGAGGAGAGGAGAGGAGAGGAGAGGAGAGGAGGTAGACACAAGATTACAAACAATGAACAAATATCCAAAAGTTAGTCACTCTATACAGCTAAATAAATAAAAACTAAAAACATTTCTCAGAAAAAGAAAACTGCAGTTTTTCAAACAATGGTACACTTGAAAATTAAATTGTTCAAGATAAAAAACAAAAAAACAAAACAAAAAACAGCCCTTTCACAGGAAAACAAAGAAAAACAGCAAATAACAGCATAGATGTAAAAAGGAAAAAATATGGCAAAGTAAAAACTGTGCAAATAGTGGGTCCAAATGTGAAACACTGACATTGATGTAGAAAAACACTTTCTTAAAAACTAGACAAATAATTTTGGGTGTATTAGATATATATTGCTTGATGAAATAAGAAAAAAAAAAACTGTGAAACTAGCAGCACAGTTGTAGAAACTTAAAAAAAAAAATCTCAGTCTTACCTGAACGTCGTACGTTCCGTTCATCATAACTGTCCTCTGCAGCGGATTCTGTGGTTCTGCTCTTGTTTTTCCAAATTCTTTGGTTTGACTTCTCTGCCCCTGTCCTGTTTGCAAATCTGACATCAGAATAGCAAAAATTGGTTAGACTGGTAAATATATAAAAAGATGATCAAAGGCTCTGAAAGAGACAATAGATAAATACATAAACAAAATATGGGGTCATGCTTTACCTAAGTTTGTATGTTGGGGGGCCATGTTGTGGAGCGCCAGGATTTGGGTGTCCAGCGCTGCATCCTGCCGTGTGCGATTGTGCAGACCCAGGTGATACTTCCTAAAGTGCTTCACCAGGTCAGCGGGGTCGTTGCCATAGTAGCTATAACCACACACATTGCACTTAAAGTCCTGGAGTTTGGGAGAAGGGCTTGATGGGAGTGGGGGGGTGTCGTTTGTCGACTCCTCCCTCCCTTCCTGCCTGGATAGGAGCCGAGGTGCTGAGGAGAGAGGCGGGGTTAGGTGGTCAGTGTCGCCCCCTTCTACTACCCTCTCACCGTCCTCTGCATCCGACTGGCTCTCAGGTCTCTCACATAGTGCGGCTAATACTTGTTTTGCCCTCGCCCCTCCGCCTGCAGTCCTCCCCCCTTGCTGCTTGTTAAGGTAGAGCTCCCCAAGAGAGGAGATGCAAACACTCTCTGCCTCCTCCTCCTCCGCATGCTCCCCGTTCCCTCTGATCCGTTCAGAAGACTCCGGTTCAGAGGGTCGGTTTATCCGATCTGCTTCCGCTGCAACTCTCTCCTCCTCATCTCCTTCATCTTCTTCCTCTCCTGTTGGCTTTGTCCCCTCTTCTTCCTCCTCCTCCTCACCTCCCACACTCCGGATAGGGGGATTCTTCTTCCTCACCATATCTAAAGATACAAAAAAGAGATGTTTAGATATAGTATAATTAAAACAGATTTTCTTTGTATTGTCTTTTTACTTAACTTAACATATAATTATATGTTTTCAATTGCTACGGTTCGATTTAACCCAAATATAAAAAAAAAAAGACTTAATAAATTAAAAAGGCTTCAGCGGTGAAGCTGTTTTTTTCTGGTCTACATTTTTTTCCCAGCTCAATATGTGAAGTGAATTTTTTTATCATGATGGAAACCATTTGTGAGAAACTAAGCACGTGACCACATCAGAACAAAAAACATATCAGAGAGCCTGAGACTGCAAGGGCGAGGAGGGTGAGGCGCAGGGAGACATGGGAGGAGGGAGACACCATCAGGGAGCTGATGGCCACGGCGCGACCACATCAAGCCAAACACTCCGTATCAGAAAGATGGATGGCTGAGGCTGTAGATGGCAATTCATCCCCTTCAGCACTCCAAAGTTCTCTTTCGTTCCTTCTCTTTCTGCCCATCCTTTATTCATTTTAAAGCTGCAAACTGTTTCTTCTTTCTCTCCAGCCTCACTGTCCTGTCTTGTTTCTCCCTGCTCTGCTCTTCATGCATATAATGGCTTTAAAAATACATTTTTTTTTTATTCAAACCCTTCTAATCTGGAATTCCTAAGTAAAATCTGCTAAAAAAATAACTTTATTCATAAACCAAGAAGGCCACTGTGTAACTTAAATGCCATAGTACACAGAGCTGCTCTGTTAAGGTCTTGATTCTTTTGCAGGATGCTGTGGAACAAACAGTATAATGAAGGATCCCAGCAGAAATGTCAGGGAAAAAGTTTTTAAGAAGCTTAAAACAAGGTTAGGATACAACTCTAAATCCCTTTTAATGACTGGGAAACTAATGCAAACTCTGGACGAGATACAAAGTTCCATAGAAATCCCTCCATGGCACATCTTTTCGTTATGCACTTAAAAATTCTCGCAGTTTTTGGCCAAATATGATTAAGACAGAGAAATTCAGGACTTTCCTGGAATAAAATCTACTAGAACCTGCAACAACCTCACTGTGGTCACTGTGGTTAAGATTCACCTTCCAGCAGGAAAACCCTAAACACAAAAGCCTTAAATAATGGTTTATATTAATGCGCATCCATGCATTAGAATGGTCCAATCAAAGCCCAGATCGAAAACTAATCGAGAACTGTTGCGATATTTAAAATGTGCTCATCACTGACACTATCCCTCCACTTTCACTGGCCTTCAGACAAAAAATTCAGGATAAAGAGGAGATGGAAAAGAGGCATTCCTCTAAAAAAAAAAAAAAAAATAGCTTATGAACATATAGAGGTCAAATTAACCAGAATAAACTAGTCAGTCAATATAAAAATTCTGCATCTGAGCAGCAGCTCTCCTCAGTTAAACATGGTGTTGGGAGCATCATGCTGGGGAATATTTTTTTGTAAAGTTACAGCTACACAGTTGATGGGCCTACATAAGAAAAACTTCAATGGGTGAGAACATTAGTGCACAATCTATATTAATTATAAAATGCTGCTCTAAAACCATTTACTAATCTGTTTTCTTTTGTTTCTACATTTAATTCCTCTGCACCCTCTTTTTTTCCACAAGCAACAATAATGGTTATAATAACTGAAGTAATTTCATCAATAACATTTTCTTTCTTTCTTCCCCTCCCTCTCCCCAACCATTCCTCCCATTTTTCCAACTTATAATCACTTTACGAAAGCCATCAAATAACCAGACATGTGTTTTATGTTAAACCATAATCTTTCTTTTGTTTGAAAAGAGAACAATTGTGGTCGTGTCGTTCAAGACAGTCGTGACAGAAAGATATTGCGTGTTTTGGGGTGGGTGGGGGGGGGTTGTGTGCAAGCGTGTTTATTTGTGGTTATCCTCTTCATATTGGCTCGTAAACATGGCAAACCCGTTGACCCACGTTTGTGTGTGTTTGTTTGATGGCGAACGTGCCAAGATGCCTGACAGACACGGAAACTGATCACTTTTAGATCAATGCAATGTGAGATCGGAGGGGGAAAGAGAGTGAAAGTAATGCATATTTGATGATACATCTGGAGGAGAGGTAGCCTGCAACATGCAAGTGATTTTGTGGCCAATCTGAGGTTGAAATTCTTGTTGTAATTTACAGAAAGCGACATGTAAACTCTATATCAGTCAAGATAAGCACTCTAGTGTGAAGAGGTTTGGGAAATGGGGTAACGTTTAGGACGATCATTTGCAAAAGCATCCAAACACATAAAATCAGGACAATCAGTAAAAAAAAAATCCTGAAAAGCAACTAAGACAGATCAGGAAATAAGCCAAAAAGAAGGACGACTGATTTTCATTCTCTTTGTGGCCATTGTAGCATTTTACAATTTCACCCTTCTGTCTTTTTCCCCCCTCTGCACAACTATTAAAATAAAAGCAATTTATGTCTGCGAAGGCCCACGCCTAGACCAGCCCTGGCACTCGCTTCGTATGTGTGTGTATTTGTGTGTGTGGGTGACACAGGCAGTGAGTGCAGGGAGCGGAGGAAAATCTCATCTGATGTTCACCACACCCAGTCAGAATTCATCATTCACTCATACACACATTCACTTACACACACACACACACAGTGGAAAACTACAGATCGTTGTGGTGAAGCAATGAAGCTGAAATCCCGACCTAAGAGGCACCGACTGACCTAAGTGCGTTTCCATCTGCTCTGTGAGAGCGCTGAGATGTTTTAGAAAGTTCATAAAAGCAACAATGAGGACAATAATTGTTCTTAATAGCGATTTTCAGTAGGAAGTGAAATAAATACACCAGGACACAATAAAAATGCTACTATTAACCGACATTTCTCTAAAATTGCAGCCTTTTAAGTCACAAAAGGCCAGAAAGTCCGTGGCGAATCCGAGCATCTGTACATCGCAGCTCGACCCCTGTGTGCTGCAGGCTGTATGCACAGACTGGAACGATTACTATCAGCTACAATTAGGTATACCCCAGTACAAAATGCCGCATAACAACTCCTGCTACTAGCCACAATTAGCCCTCAAACACCACAATAGCCCCAATACCACAACGAAGACAAATGTGACAGTTAATCATTTCCATCGGCAGCAATTAGCTCCAACACAAGCAAGGCTTTTATCTGAAATTGCCAATAATCATCTCAGGAAAGCTGCAGAAGGACCCGGCAACAAGCGGCGGGGCGAGGATCAGTGAAATATTACTGACATGGCTATTTAACCAAACCTTGTTGGAAAATGTACATTTTTCTATGTTATTTGTTTTTTTATGTGGACTTTAGAGTTTGAAGCAAATTTATATTCAGTAAAATATCTTTGTTTCTATGCACTTTAAAGTTCAGCAACAGGGACAAAAGCTAAGCATAAAAGATACCAGTGTTAAACATTGATTTAAACACTTTACATTTTCTTTATTGAAAATTAATACAAATACTTTGGAGATTTCTATGTAAGTTAGAGTAAAAGGATAAATGTTTGGTTAATTTGTTTACCCATAGCTGTAAGCTCATTCTTTCATTCAACATTAATTCTACTAATTTATTTACCCTTTTTAAGAGGTTGATATTCCCCCGCTTTGAAGTTCATTCTAATTTTAAAATTGTTTTTGAGTTCTTGTAGATTTCTTCACAACTTTTACATAGTTTACTGTAAGGGAGCATGTATGCTTTCTTTTATCTTCTGGTTTGCCGTAGACACTAAAAGAGATTTCTATTAAACTCTGCAATATTACGTCTAATGACAGCAAAAATAACTTCAATGAAAACAATGATGTTAAAATAGTTTTTGCATAGAAAGTCAAGAATAAAGAAGAAGACACAAGTTTATTGACCACAATTCTTTAAAAATTCAAAGCCAGCATGTTAGGTAACTGTTGACATTATTTTAGGCAGGTTTATTTATATGGGGCAGTCCTGAATCGTGTTACATGTGAGCTTAAAGTAGCTTGAAGTACAGGTCTACTTGATAGTTTAATATAGGTTGTCCATGTCTGAAGCCAACATTCAGTAATCATTTTATCTAATCGGGCAGAATTACATAAATGTGTGGAAGTTCTGTCCAAGGTTGAAGAACAGGAAGTTTTAATCTTGGCGAAGCCCCAAGATCCTTGGTTTGAAAAACTAAAATGCCACTCTTGGTCCCTGAGAAAAGACCCTCAGTACCACAGTGTCATGGCCGCTGCAGAAAACTGTCCACTCCTCCCAGACCGCAACGTTCCACTGGATGTGGAAGCGGCACTTAATCTCTGCTGAGACATTGCAGCTGATCACAGCAATTATAGCCAATCAGAGCGGTTCCTCCGGGTGCACTGCGGCGCAACTCTAAAGTGTCCCAGACGCGCCAGTCGCTTCTATAATTTAGCTATTGGTTCTATTTTTGCTTCGGTTGCAACTCCAACTTAGATCAACTTAGATCAAACCTACAAGGAAAAAAAAAACTTTTTGACTTTTTGCAATAAATCAATCTGTTCATACAGTTTAGCAACAGCAAGAATGAGTATGAGCATTAAATGAAATAAAAACTGTTATATTAAAATTCACCTTTGATAGACAAGGTGATTAGATAAGAGCGGACACACAAGATGCTGATAGAGCCGGCAAATTAAACAATTTTCTGATTTGTTGTTCTATTTAAACTCTACAATAACAGTATTATAACACGATGATGCAATGTAAAGGAATGTACATCCAAACACGCAAAGTCACTCTGTGGTGAAAACGCTCCCGGTGGAATAGAATGTGTGGTAGAAGCCGCCGCGCAGCTGCGCCATGGTGCATACCGTCTGCTCCCACATCCATACAACCGAGGAGTAAAGATGGTTAAATATGAGGGACAGATTTCATTAGAATATACAATTGCTTTGCCAAATAAAAGTGATTATTATATTATCAAACAGACCTTTTTCCTATAATACAGGTTTGTTTTCGTCCCTTTGGGGTCAGGATTTCTACTTATGTATTTGTGGATAAAACAAGCATGGACC